ATCATACTAATAGTTCCCTATTTTGATACTGATCCTGCCATATTATCAGCAGTATAAAAGAATTATCCAGAAATATATTACTTTCACTGCATCTTCTATATAGACCTAAATTTAAGAAAGAGATTTTAAGAAAAATTAAAAGATTAGTTTAAAATATTTTGCTCTAAAATTTTAACAATACAAAATTTTTTATGTTTTAGAAAGTTCAAAGTTGAATAAAATATATTAATTAATGAATATCCAGTTTGTAAAAACTATCTTAAAAGAGTTCTATATTTATATAAGAGTAGTTAGGCCAGCTATTCTATTAACCAACCTTTACTGCTAGAGCTCAAAGCACTCAACAAGTGGAAGTATGCAACAGATTAATTAAGAATAGGCAAAATAGAGCCTTACATCTAACTAATATTGTTAATGAAGTTCAATGGTTATTTGATAAACAATTAAAAAAAGCTACTCTGAATGAATATAGAAATGAAATTCTGACAAGAGGGATACCAAGCATAATAAATAAATATTTTCCTAAACTTGACAATATCTTGTAGGAATTTCTTATATTACAAATTCTTCAAAAACATCATAATCAAATGGCCTAATCTTTGTATTATAATATCTCTTTAATTGTTAACTGGCAACCACTCTTAAAAATAAGTTTGAATTGTAAGTTAGTTAGTTAAGAGAAAAAAAATAAAAAAAAATAATAATAATAAAATCTTATTTTCTTCTGGTTTAGGTTATAGATAATTTATATTAACAGGAAATAGCCAAAGAAGATGATTACAACCAACTATAATTCTGGTTTTCATCATTGTTAAAAGATATTTTTTATAATTCAGTCAAGAAAATATAGAAAGTAATTAGGTATTGCGGCCAAAAATCAGAACCACAACATGTAATTCCTCTTAACAATAAGTTATATCTATATATTTGCTTTTCACTCATTAACAAGAAAATAGTATGTTGATATTTATTTTAAGTTATATCTTATTCTGTTAATACATTGTTCAATAACTTATTAATTCCCCAGTATTGGTACAAAAAAAGCAAGTACTTTGATCAACAAGAAACACTAATATACCAAATTGCAAAAAATAAATCTATATTGCTTTTGCCTAAACCACTTTCTTTTCAACAATTAGTAAAGTTTAGAATGATATCTAATACTAAATAACTACAAGGGTCTAAACAAAAATATAGTTTTGGTATAGAGTATGTAAAAAAAGTTCTTAACTTGGCAATTAAATCTGATAAAGTAGTTAAATTTGTTAGTTATATGGAGAGATTCATTAAAAAAACAAAGAAAGAATTTTTTAACAAGCAAATTCATAACTTTATACTTGTTGGTGATCTGCTATATATAACATATAAAGGCAAACAACCAAACAGGTATAAATCTAGAGAAGAGCCTATGAAAAAGAAAGTACAAGATAAATTTATAAGTAAATTAATATTTGGATAATGTTCAAAGCAATGAAAAAATACAATATAAATTTTAATATTGCATATAATCAAAATTATGCAGAGATGCAACATGATAACTGCAGTGAAAAAGTAAACTATAATAGTGAAAGTGCTATAAAAATACAACATAGTGACTAGAACAGTACAGAAAAAAGGCATAATAGCCAAGATAATAACCAAAGTATAGAAGCAGAATATAACAATCAAGATACCAATCAAGATGCCAATGCCTTAACTTTAGAAAAAGCAGTATGAAAGTGTAAAAAGTACAAGAAAACTGATTACTATACTCTACAGTATCTAAATGTCTAATTTACTTATATGTAATAGAAAATATCTATTGTTACTGTATAATTAATTATATACAATGTAAATATATTATGTATTAGCATTAGCATTAGATATAGCAATAGCGAATTGACCTGTGGTGAAGCTGACCAATTGCATGATGACAATGGCACATGCCCTTCCAAAGGACTAGCATAGCTAAAATTCGACCAATGGTCTACAGTGTGGGCCCAGTTTAGCATATATACAAATTATATATTAACTATTAAAATCTAGATGAGTCTTGACCACTCTAGTAGGTTTAGGTTGCAGATAACTAACTTAGCTATAGCCAAGTTTCTAGTCTGAGCTCTCATTCTTGCTTGTATAAACTACCCAACAAAGATATGAGCAAGGTCTCACCTTAATACTAAAAAAAAAAAGCAATAGCGAATTAATAAGTTGTAGATTATGTAGATTATTGCCCAATATAATAAACATATAAGTAATATCATACTGGATTAAAAATAGCTATAATCAAAATTAAATATAAAAAAAAAATTATCATTAATTTTATATATAATTTTAAAATAGTACTCTCTATCTTTAAGCTAAGCTATTCTAATAAATATTTGACAAAATTTAATAAAAATTTTTTATTTAAATTTTACAGATTTGCAGAATTTAAATAAAAAATTTTCAATAAATTTGGTTATGTAGTTGTTGTAATATCTTTATTCAAATTAAAACTTATCTATTAAAATAAAAGCTATATTAAATTATTTTAAAGCTTTGAGTAAAAATATCTTGGCAATTATCTAACTAAATTTGATAAAATATTTTTTAATTAAATTCTATGAATCTGTAAATTTTTTTTTTAAAAAAAAAAATTTTAACAAATTTGATTAGATATATCTTTATTCAAATTTTTAAAAAATTCATACAACTTCTATTTTGATAGATATTTTAAATTTTTTCAAAATTTAATAAATATTTTTTATTTGAATTCTATAAATATATAGAATTCAATAAAAAAAAATTTTACTAAATTTGGTCAGGTAATCATCAAGATATCTTTGTACAAAGGTTTAAAAATAATTTAGTACAGCTTTAATTTTGATATAATAAATGGTTTAAATTTTTTTTAACTTTGAGTAAAGATATCTCAACAATCCATCTGACCAAATTTGTTGAACCTTTTTTTTTTATCTAAATTTTACATAATTATAGAACTCTAATAAAAATTTTTACTGAATTTAGTTAGGTAGTATCTTCACTTAAATATTAAAAATAATTCTGTACAACTTGTATTTTGATATTTTGAAATTTCTCCAACTATTAATAAAGATATCTTGAAAATAACCTGACTAAATTCAATGATTTTTTTTTTGAATATAGTCAGACCTCCCTAAATGCATATTCTCTAAATGTATAGTCTCTCTAAATGCATGGCCTTGTTTGGCCCCAACTCATATAACACATATAGATTTTTACCTTTCTAAATGCAATACCTCTATAAATGCAAGATTTTTTGGCTGCCTGAGACTATGCATTTAGAGAGGTCTGACTGTATATCAATCTTATTAAAACAAAAATTTAGATTTATTGAAATAAATAATTAACTAAATAGAATACAGTCAGACCTCCCTAAATACATATTCTCTAAATACATAGTCTCTCTAAATGCATGGCCTTGTTTGGCCCCAACTCATATAACACATATAGATTTTTACCTCCCTAAATGCAATACCTCTCTAAATGCAAGATTTTTGGCCGCCCGAGGCTATGCATTTAGAGAGGTCTGACTGTATTGTTTTTTTTTTTAAATTGAACCTCAAGACTAGCTCTACACTGAAATAGAGCTATTTTTTTAATATAGTAGGCCTCTTTATAGTCACCTTCTATATAAGCACATTTTCTTTATAAACATATTTTTTAAAAAACAAACTATTATTAAATATAATAAATTTGACCTCTATAACTGTCAGACTTTTCTACAATCACCCATTTTTGTATCCCAAGTGTGTGATTATAGAGAGGTTTAACTGTATTTTTATAAAAAATACTTGGAACACTAATGATTAGTGTTCTTGGTTTCGATTATTAATATTCTTTTACTTTTTTAAAAAAAAGATTAAAAAAATAGCCCTATTTCAGTGTAAAGCTAGTTTAGGGATTCAATTTAAAAAAAATAGCATATTGTTTGATTAATTATTTATTTCAATAAATATAATTTTATTTTGGTAAAATTTATAGCGACAATCATATTAATGTGGGTTCGATTTACAATATGTATCAATTATGTTAGATTATACAGTACAAGCTTATCATATCCAAAATCTCAACGTTTAAAATCCCAAAAGCAATTTTCAAGATTTTAAGCATCGGAATTTTAAGTATCAGGATTCTGAGGTAAACCCATTAGAAAATCCGCAATTAGTGATCACTAGTAACCCTGACTATATGATTTTAATAGGTCGTTGAACACTCTAACTACACGCTGCCACTCTCATGAATATATGGGGTTGAGTCAATAGAAACCAAGCAAATATTTTTTTAATGTTTTTTTTTTTAAGACTTTAAACAATAATAACAAAAAATCAAATTTAATAAATTTATTTTTAAATTAATTTTACAAGTTTGTAAAAATTATTTAAAAAATTTTTTTGTTATTCTTGTTTAAAATTATAAAAATTTTTTATTATAAAAAATTTGCTTGATTTCTAATGATTCACCTCCATATGTATACAAAGATTTTTTGTAGCAATTAATATTATAATATTAGCCAATCAGAAAGCATATTTACTTAATATGGTTCTAAATACAGAAATATCAAATAAAAGGGAGCATGCCCAAAAACCCTGTGTCCCTTACTCTAATTCAAGCACTACAATTTGTCACACTTTTATAACGAAAAAGATTGTAGCAGTCAAAACCAAAATAAGTTAGTATTTATTGTACATATTTAGCTCGATACTTTAAAAAGATTTCACAAATTGGTACGTAATAGGTTCTTAGCAGAAATTAGGCTTATCAGCTTATCAATTCCTGAAAATCTGACCGCAGAAAATTGTATGTTAGGTCACAAAATCACATGATCATCACACAATAAAATATTTAACGTAACGCATGAGATTACCCTAAACACTTCTTATTCTGTATTTTAGGCCACGGAATATTCTTCGTACAGAAAAACTAATAACGTCTGAACATAATCACTCTAAGAAAAATAAGCTGATGTGCGTTGTCAAACAATATTTAATTAACCTAAAATGTCAGATGTGGGAAAAAATTGGTTTAAAACTGCTGTTGAGCAAGGATTTATTAAATCGTTCGAGTATAATTCTTTTAACGATTTAAAAATAATTAGTAAAGGAGGATTTGGTACTGTGTATAGTGCTACTCAAAAGACGCAGAAAAAATTGTGGCCTTGAAAAGTTTACACGATCATAATGATGTTATTTATGAGAATTCAATTGAAGGAGTTGTCAGAGAAGTATGGAGTATTTTATAATGTTCCACGTTAGTTGCACATAGTGTTACTTAATATACTGAACATTATCAATAAGATCAAGAACATTACAGAAATTAATCATCACGATAATATCATACGATTCTTTGGAATCACTCAAGGTATTTTAATTTTATGAAATAAATAAATAAATTTCATAAATCATCTAATTGGAAAGTATTTTAATGTTAATTAAGAACCTAATACTGAAACACACTATATGGTTTTTCAATTCGCAAACGATGGAGATCTTCGACGTTATTTGCGTACTCATTTCTATGAGTTGAGTTGGTCAGATAAAATTAGAGTGGCAAAGGAAATTTCAAGCGGAATTAATTGCCTGCATAATGCGAATATTGTTCATCGAGATCTTGTATGGTTTTCTCTATTTCTTTTGCTATTACTATATTATATGTATACATATTAACGTTTAAAACATGTCGGATTTAATATTATTAGCATGATAAGAATATATTAGTGCACGATGGTAAATTAATGATTGCAGATTTTGGATTATCTAAATCATTAGAGAATAGCACAAAATCTATTATTGGTGGAACTTGTGCTTTTTCCGACCCACAATATCTCAAAAATCCATTCTTATATAAACGAAATAAGCAGTCTGAAATCTATAGTCTTGGTGTACTTTTTTGGGAACTATCAAGTGGGGTACCCCCTTTTAAGAGTATATCTGATCTAACAATGATATCGTCATATGTGATTAAAGATAAAAGAGAAACCTCAATTTAATGGAACTCCAATTGATTTCATGAATCTTTATTGTAATGCCTGGAGTGATGATCCAAATAAACGTCTTAACATTTCTGACATCCGCAATAAGCTAAATAATATAAGATTAGAGCTAGTTTATCACGATGATCAAATCCATAAGGTTGACAGCGACCTTATAGAACAGAATTCAATAGGTTGTCATATTTATTACTTTATTAAAATGAACTTACAAATGTTAGTTTATACATACTCTAACTCAATTATAATAAATTTACAGATGAACGATTTCAAGAATTACGAGTTGTCAGTGAAAATTATCATGTGAATAAATGTAAAGAATCGCTTCCAGATTTAAATAAATTATTAGAAATTAATCCAAATAATGCAGAAGCATTAAGAAGTCGTGGAATAACTTACCTTAAGTTAGATATGTATGAAGAATCACTCATCGATTTAAATGAATTGTTAGAAATAGAACCAGATAATTTAGAAACATTATGTAATCGTGGAGTAACTTATTGTATGATGAAGAGATATAATGAATCACTTGCAGATTTAAACAAATCATTAGAAATTAAGCCGGACTATGTACAGGCGTTATGTAGTCGTGGAATGACTTATTTTATGATGGAAAGATATGATGAATCAGTTGCAGATTTAAATAAATCGCTAGAAATCAATCCAAATAATGCAGAAGCATTAAGAAATCGTGGAATAACCTATCGTCAGATGGATAAATACAAAGAATCACTCAAAGATTCAAGTAAATCGTTAGAAATAGAACCAGATAATATAGAAACATTAAGAAATCGTGGAATAACTTATTATATGATGAAGAGATATGATGAATCACTTACGGATTTAAACATATCGTTAGAAATCAAGCCAAGTTATGCAGAGGCATTATGCAATCGTGGAATGACTTATAGTATGATGAAGAGATATGATGAATCACTTGCGAATTTAAACAAATCATTAGAAATTAAGCCGGACTATGCAGAGGCGTTATTAAATCGTGGAGTAACTTACCGCATGATAGGAAGCTATAATGAATCACTTGTAGATTTAAACAAGTTATTAGAGATTAAGCCGGACTATGCAGAGGCGTTATATAATCGTGGAGTAACTTATCGCATGATAGGGAACTATGATGAATCACTTGTAGATTTAACCAAATCATTGGAGATTGATTCAAATAACGCGTTAGCATTCAACAGTCGTGGGGTAATATATTGTGCAATGGGCAAGTACAAAGAATCCCTTGAAGATTTAAATAAATCATTAAGGATTAAACCAAATAACGCGGAGGCATTAAGTAATCGTGGAGTAACTTATCGCATGATAGGTGATTATGAGAAATCACTTGCAGATTTAAATGAATCATTAAGATTGATCCAGATGATTTATGGACATTAGGAAATAGGGGAAATAGAGGTGAAACATATCGTATGGCAGGTAAATGTGATGAATCTCTCGCAGATTTAACAAAATTATTAGAAAATGAACCAGATGATGCGTTTGCATTAAGTAATCGTGGAGTAACATACCGCATGATGGATAAATTCAAAGAATCACTACAAGACTTAACAAGATTATTAGACATTGGACCAAATAATGTACTAACATTAAGGAGACGTGATGAAACTTATCGTATAATGAGTAAATACAAGGAATCACTTGTAGATCTAAATTCATCATTAGATATTGAACCAGATAATGCATTGGCGTTGAGAAGACGTGGTGAAACTTATCGTATGTTGGGCAAATACAAAGAATCTCTCGATGACTTAAACTATTCATTAGAAATTGAATCAAATAATGCATTCGCATTAAGAGTCCGCGGAGCAACTTATCGCATGATGAATAGATATGATAAATCACTTGAAGATTTAAATAAATCATTATCAATTGAACAAAATAATGCATTCGCTTTAAGCAACCGCGGTGCAACCTATCGCATTATGGGTGATTATGATAAATCATTAGCAGACTTAAACAAATCATTAAAAATTGAGCCAAATAATGCATGGACACTAGAAAATCGAGGTGCGACTTATCGGATGATGGGCCAACATGAAAAATCACTTGAAGACTTACATAAATCATTGGTAATTGAACCAGATAATGCATTTGCTTTAAGCAATCGTGGTGCAACTTACCGCATGATAGGCGATTATGAGAAATCACTTGATGATTTAAATAAATCATTAGCAATTGAACCATATAATACATGGACTCTAGAAAATAGAAGTGAAACTTATCGAATGATGAATAGATTAGAAGAATCCCTTGCAGATCTAGATAGATTACTAGACATTAATCCACAAAATGAGCGGGCAATTGAAAATCATGAAAAAGTCTATCAAATAATTAACAAAACTAAAAAGTTTAAAATTAACAAATTTTCAAAAAAGGCTAGTAAAATTATTAACAAAAATACCAGTGGAAAAACTGACAATTAATATTTTAATATATGGTAATTATTTTTGAACCCGGGCCAATTTTATATATGACGTATAACATTTTGGTCTGGATTCAAAAACAATTACCCATATTTAATAACATTTATTTGAGCTAATAAATTTAGTCATATTTATCTGCAAAAAAGAAAATAAAATTATTTTGACTAAAAAATAAAAAACATACGTGTCGATATATATATATTGTATTGTATTTACATAGTGCTACAAAAGGATAGAGTTTTTAAGTTTATAAATTAACAAAGATTGTGCCATGGGTATCAACCGTTATCCACGAGTGATCGGATATCCAGGTTTTAATTATGAATAGAATAGATGCCCATGCTAGTCAATAAAGTATCCGGTTACCATAGATAAATCAGACAGGTACTCCGACCCAAGGTAATGCATCAGTTTTCAGGATATTGTCAATCTTTTTTAAAAATAACGAAAAAATTTGCAATTAAATAAAAATTAAAATAAGAAATAACCTAGTTGTTGCCGGCTGTGATAGTCACCGGATTGAATTCCCATGTAATAAAATCAAGACAGCACTATATAATAAAATTTTGCAAGGATTTTTTTTTTGGCTAGATGTCATGAATTTTGACACCTGATCTCGCGATATAATTTTTTGATTGAAATTCGACAACTGTCATTTCCGGCAACAATAGATTTGCTCTGATATGATATAAGGGAGATGGGGGTATTGTGGACAGGGGGGGTATTGTGGTCAAGTGGAATATCTTACGATCTAGTGATCGAAATTAGATGATTTTTATACCATTCAATTCGTCTCAAAGAGACGAATCGAATGGTATAAAAATCATCCAGTTTCGATCACTAGGTCGCAAGATATATACATTTAAGCAAAAATCAACTTTTTATTTAATTATATTATAATTGTAACATAATTAAAGCGAAGTATTGTACTAAAAAGATTAGCCGTAAACATTAAGTTAACTATAGTAATAAATTCTAAGACATCAAAGTTTAAATTTTAACCATTTTTATTAGTGGCTCTTTAAGACATTGTAGCAGTAAAGGTATTAAAAACGCGTATACACGTATACGCGCACATACGCACGTACAATCGTGTAGAGTGATCTGTTTCGATACGCGTTAGCGAGGAAAAATAATTGAATGTGATCGAACATGCCTCCTTACACATCCCCTTTTTGGAGTTTGTAGCGCCCCGGTACAACGATATAAAAACTCTCAGTTGTCACGTTTCATTTCACGTGTATCAGTCACGTTAACAAGTTATGTTCGCTTTATTCAACCCGTGATTCAATTTAATTAACAATTTTTACTTTTTACTTTTTTTTTTTTTTTTATTTTAGTATTATTTTTTTAATACGAAACGATTTTCATACATTCATATATTATTATTTTTTTTTCAATACGTAGGTAAAATAAAATGCCAAAAGCCTCTAATAATAATAACCAACGTG